GGGGGTGGGGTTAGTCGTCGTCAATGGACTATAAAGGAAGGAGTTTAGAAAATTGACTACCAATGAAGGAGGATCATAAGAACAATGATTACAGAGCCTTCTGGAGAGATTCGGTAAAAGTTATCGTGACACAACCCTCCTCCGGTTATGTTCTGCGGTAAGCGGTATGCAAGGTGCATAATGGGAATAATCGTTATGTTTTGTGGAGTATGATTCGCCCTAAAAAAAACCTCGTCAATAAGAGGATGAGATTTGCATCTTCATTTTCTCAAGGCGTGTCTGATGGATGGTGTGATAAATTAGTGAGGAATAGAGAGATTTAGCGCCGCGTTTACGTAACAGTAAACGTTAGCTTCCCTGTCGCGTTTCACGTAAAATGGCATGAACCCTGCTGGTTTCGCTTCGCGTGAGCTCACGTCACTGTGGATTTGAAGGCGCCCTGGTATGATTTACGCGAAATAGTTTTGGCGCCCTTTTTATGGCAATTGACTTCTACTCCGTGCGAGAAAAAGTAAAGAAAATCTTACTTACACGGCAAATGCGAAACAGGTTATTTTCACGTAGAAATGGCAAAGCGCAACCGGAAAATGTGAAAAAACAGCGGCAAAAAAACACGTCTCACGTAAACGCAGTGCTAAATTTCTCTAATTTCATAACAGCGTAGCTTGTTGCAGGCGTTCTGTAAGCATAAGAGCAATAGAAAACGGCGCGAGAGAAGCAAAGGAGAGTGACCCGACCCAGACCTCCCGCGCTTTTTCACTCCGCTGCCAACATCGCTCTGTTGACTATTTCACTTTGTTTTAGTGACTGGACGCCTAGGACGAGCTAAAAATAGGGTCGATCACATATACAAGATAATCATGAGCTATTAAGTACAATAATATTTGAATGAAATGTACCTCCTGAGACATTTGTTGGTGAAACCGTTGGATCTGAGCAAATAGAAAAAGAACTTTTTAAATACTCAACAAAATAGACCATTTTATAGATGTGTACTTAGTGATAAAAACCAATATCTAATTAGTATGATAAAAAAGTAATTTACAATTGAAAAGCAGCAACTTTTGTTTACAAGGAAAGTTACTAAATTTTCTATCTCCAGAAAAAACTCTTACCTCCAATAATCAGCCTTGTTGTGCAATTGGTTGTTCCATATTTGTTGGAAGTAACGCAAACAAACAATCCGCTGTCCGATTTAACAACGTCCGTTATTCGCAAAAACCTCGGAGTTTTCACAAAATATCTATCATCAGGCTGATGAATCTTTCTACTATTCTTGTACCAAGTGTAATTGACTTGGTGTCTGACGTTACAGATCAGCTTCACTTCATCTTGTCCCACTGGTTTAAGGACCCTTGGAGGCGGCGGTTGCCTCAAATCAGGCGCAACTACAAAGAAAGAGAAAAGACTAACAGTTGGCCCCATAGACTTCTTAACACCAAAATATTAAGGGCACCTTCATGTTTGACGTGAATTGAGTTTGTGCAGCTGGTGTTATCTTGGTGTTGTTCCCCATCGTAACTAACAAGAAGCAGAGCGCGTGGCGGTATAAGTCGACGATTACAAGGTTTGTGCTCATAGATCAGATAAAACTCGGCCCGTTCGTGTCACTTGTTTCTCGATTCTTGATGTGCGCGCGCGAGTCCTGAGCCGGAAGGATAACCATGTATTTTCCTTCACCCAGCCAGCTGCCAGCTTAAGGAGNATTCAAATCAGTTTGTTTCCGGTTGGACAGTTAACCACCCCGATACCTCACTCCTTTCTCCTCGTCCGAAGAACAAAGAACGATCGAAAACGCAGGCCTTGTGAGTACTTGGCATGCAGTAAAGTGCGTAATGACGCCATTCTCTAAAAAGTGATCGCGAAATAATTTTTTGAGTTAAAACTTGAATTAATAACTTAAATTTTGAATAAAAATAGGGCGACAAAAAGAAATTCTTGTATACGCGACACGTTGGGTATCACAATACTGTATGGCCACGTGTATAATCATACTATCTGCATGATGTACAATTACTGCGTCGTAATAGCGACGCACGGTCGAGCAAGAAAGAGTAAAGCATTTGCGCTAAGTCGAATAATTGTTCTGCAAAATGGAGTGGAGAAGAACGTACGCGGATGTTGTATCAGGTATGTTCTATTGGAATTTTGCTGTTTTTACACTCCTTGTTCTAGATCTCTAGAGATTTACTGTAATTTCCTTTCATTCGAAGCTCGACGCTCTTCGGAAAATCATCGGAGTTGTTTTGAATTAAAAAAACAAGCGTTGAAATATTCCGGCGGAATTCCGGATTCCGGCTTTTCCAAACTACCGTGCGATAAAACAAGTTCAGTTTCTCTGATCGTATTTGTCAAAGTACTGATAAACATAAGGGTCACAAAATATCTCTCAAGGCTGGGACCCAACTTCCTTTTCATACTGATAAGGGTTCACCAGAGTCGCGAAAACAAGACGACAGATTTATTTTCTCACACAAAGACAAGCTTCTTACATAATATTCATCGACCAGAGTCGCGTATTGTGCTTGTTATTAATCTACGAGGCGGAAGTGTTAAAATACCTGGACGCATATCTGCGTTTACTCATCAGGAAAAATTCTTTATGCTGTTTTCACACCTGGTATACAAATTTCACCTGCAAGTAATAGGCAAGTGAAAATAATTTCAAAAGCAGTGCCAAAAATGTCCTAGCTGTTACACAATGTTTTCATGTGGTTTTGAATGAATCCTGGGAGCTGACATGCAAAAAGAAAAACTTACATGCAAGCATGCGCACCAGAACTTTGACAGTGATTTGTGACTGGCTTAGAACTTTCAAAGGAGCGCCCAATTAACAGAGGTAAAATTTCACACTAAATTCATTATTTTATGTAGACCTGCAACAACACTCCGGACCTACCAACAGTAGAGGTACTTGTTTTGGAAGTAGTTGTTTCAATAGAAAGGAAAGAATCTAACACGAAGAAGTCTCAGTCCGCATAGCAGTAACATTTATCAGCGGGTTTTTATTCTATCTGCACATTGTACATCAATATTCTACCATTACAATTTAATCAAGTGCTAAATAAATGAAACCAAAAAAATAAAATAAAATAAAATCCTTTAAGAGCAAAACAAACTAGAACAGAGCATTCGGTTGTTGAAAAATTGA